AATATTTTAGTGAGGAATTATCCTGTTTTATTTACAGTTTAAATCAATTAATACATTTGAGTTACAACTAAATTTTATTTCACAGCCAATAATTTGGTCCGGCTTTTTACATCAAATACTGTTTCATTATGTCAGGGAAATGTTAAAAAATAATGCCCTTAAAAGTTTTTAATATGTTCAAAATTAAATTCCTGTTTTTTTCTTCGGAATATATGTATTGGAAATAACTATTCTCCCCAACCGCTAATCAAGTAATCAAAGTTTTGGAAAGCTAACGATTTAGGTTATTTTTAATCTAAAAGATTATTTTTCTTTTTTTTTTGCATTGCTTTGGTATTGTTTAATATTATAGTAATTTGAAGTTATTAATATTTTCATAATAAAATTCACGGTACCAATTTTACTGCACCAGTAAACTTCAAATTGTTTTGAGATTTTTGTTTGTTTCACAATTCAACTTTTAGTCAGTTTCAATCACTGTGTGATAAATCCTTTCAATCTGATAAATGTGCTTCGGGGCAGTTGTAACTCATTTATAGAAACTCTTTGTTTTGAACTGAAAATAGACCCAAATAATAGGTTAATACCTTACTAAGAACATGATTTACATTCATTCTTCACAATTAAGAGACATCCAATTCTACAATTTCATTGGTCGAGAGTACTTTGCTATATTCTAAATAGATAACACGACCTATGATACGTGATTTGTTCTTACCTAATTAAATCAGGACTGCCAATCATAATCCGGATTAATTCGGATGTGTTCCAATGTTGTTTAAAATTAGTCTATTCGAAAACCTCAACAAGAATAAAAACACATCAAAAGTTATTAAACCTTATCAACTGTATAGACACAAACATTGATACAAATCTATATTCTTATTTACAAAAATTAAGAAAATGCACATATAATTCATTGTGAAAATCACAGCAAATCATAAATCAGGGAAACATAGGAAAGGGAAGCGCAACTTGACTTATTGAGGCGAAAATTGAATAGTAAAACTGCTATATGATGAGTATTATAAGGCTTGAAAAAGTTGATTTGTATGATCTTTCAAACTTTGATATATTAAAACTTCTTAAGTATTGGTTTTTCCACTATTTTGGCCAAAATCGACTACGGGTGATGTATGTAAGAAATTTAATATACTTTGACAGATGGTTAGATTGAAAAAAAAAATGTCACGTGCAATCGAAATTCTTCCAATTCACTCCATATATATTTTCCTATGATATTTGATTTTGATATTCATAAAACTGATACATTACTCTTTCGTTTATTGAAAATAGTTGCTGATATATTCATTCAGGAATTAATTATAAGAGTTCCCGTGTTTGATAATGAAAAAGAAAAAAAAATCGGAAAATCACGCTTTATCGCAATTTTACAAAAAACTACACTGTGGGAACTCTACGACAGAGTTAAAATGATAGTATAATGTGGATTTTCTGCCGTGGGGTATGTCGGTCCATTTGAGCGACTTTTTCTTGATTTGTCACTCCACTACAAGGTTTTAATTCAGTGGTTGTCGTCTGTCATATTTGTTTTTCGTTTATCATTTCTTCAAAAATAAGGCCGCTTGTTTACTGTTTGGAATTGTGTAAACAATTTGTCATCCAGGGACCGTGTATGACTTACTATATGGTGTACGTTTTGTTCATTGATGAAGGCCCGAAAGGGGCCGTTATCTGTTTACATCATCGTCCTTTTTTCTCGGGTAGATAGATGTCTTATTTATAATATGACAGATCTCCTTTTATTTTACCGAATAGGCATTGTAATTGACCTTTTAGCATTGAAACTTTAATACTTAAATTTTATAAGATATCTTCTACTCTTCATACATATCTTGTCCTATAAAATTTGAATTGTTTATATATTGTAAATTTTTGTGCCGGGCTAAATTTTATGCATAACAAAAATTGCACAACATAAATCAGGGGGTTGGAGGAGGCGGGAGGGGGCATCGGTGGCCTAAGTGGTTTATCTACAGTGCTCACTGGCCTGGTGCGTTCGACTCCGATCTTATAGTTAACTTGGTCATTTTTCTTGCCGAATGTCAGTGGTTCTCCAGTTATCTCCACTAATAAGTAATGGCCGCCATGAAAAAGCCGAAAGAGCTGAAAGTGGTGTTTACGATCAATCAATCATCAATAAAAAAAATCAGAATGATAGAAAAAGAAAAACTATGCCATTCATGTTAAAGATATCAAATAACTATGTTTTCATTAGCCAGGGTTGTCTTTCTTGGGACAGATGTTGAAACTAATGTTTTCTTAGTCCGTCAAGCGACAAATGTAACATATTTTCCTGGCGAAATAAAATTGAAATTAATCAAATTGGTGTTGGAAATAAGCATGCTGGTAGTACATATATAAACATGTAGAAGAAACGAACAGAATTTGATTATCATCACAAAAGTTTCAAACAAATGTTAGAAAGGTGCCAAAGGTGACCTGTCGTTTCCATACCAACGCATCAGACGACCGCTTTTTTCTCTCCATCAGAACAAGAAAGCAAAGTAGGTTTTTTTTTCTTTAAGGGGTGAGGGTTCATTTCACAAAGAATGTTGAAACTGTTGCAATATATGACGACAAAATTATTCACCAAATACATGAAAATATGATCCCCTAAATCTAATACTGATTCTACTGCTAGCAGGTAGTCATATAATTACACCTCAGTTACAAATTTTATCATTAAGTGCAAAACAAATTTAATTTTCGTGTAAGTTCAACATACAGAAAAAAATAACAATTCATGAATTAAAAACGGATCCTGTATAGTTTTGTTTATTTAAAATTAGTATTATTACGTCTTCAAAACCACTGTGACCTTGTACTTAACGGAAATAATGAAAAATGTTCTTTTACTCAAATCATTGTTATAATGTTATTAAATCCTAATCGAAAATATTCAATTTTGTGTTTGTAAAGTGTAAAATCGCCAGCTTGATATGATTTGCATATAATTATCCTTTTACCTGAACATTTTCCACACATGTTACTTGTTATATGGTATTTTTCGTAAAACAAGTTAAATGTCGAAGAATGCGTCACAAATTTAACTTGTGATTATACGCAATCTGACAATTCCCAAACAGTAAGTTCCTACTGAAACTTTCTATTATGCATGTTTTTTTTTAAATAATTTTCATTTGCATTGAAATATGAAGCAACTGTATAATATGTGTAAATTTCTTGATTTTATCACTTAAATCTGTTAAAGCATAGATGTATCTATGGTTAAAGTGACATTTTCTTTTAAGCGCCCCTCCCCCTTTCATGCATATTAAGATTTTTTGTAAATGAGCAGTATTTCCTACTATATTGTGAGTTTGTGTCAGAAAAATAACAAGAATTTTGACGGTAAAATATTCAAATTCTCCCTTCTTGAGCCTCATTGACGATCAGTCCAACATCAATTTAAAGACAAACAATTTATCCTGCAAAATGAAATACCCATCAGAGTCCATCGCTTTCTTCTCAAATATACGATATTTTGGGTAGATATTAATGAACTTCAAACCACTGGAAAGGATTACACTTTTAAATAATAAATGAGTAGAATTAGGTAAATATGAAGTTTAATATATTGTTTTTGAATATTCATGCAAGTCATTAATTCTAAATCGACACGGGATTTCGGGATTTGATTAATATATATTTTTATTATATTTTTTTAAGCAACATTTATTTTATCATGTTGATTAAGACGTACAAAGATATTATTTTAGAATTATTGATTTTCTAATTCTTCTCAATCTGTGCACAAAAACAATGAAAATGTTCAATCGATATGATAATAAAAAGATATGCAAATCATATTCTAGGTATTGATTAATTATTGTTTGCTTAATGTCCAGTGGCAAATATGTCATGCTTATTCGAGAGAACGTTTGCCATGTTCTTATCATAATTAGTTTAAACTTCTGAGTTGAAAGAGTTGTTATTTATATTAGAATTATACTACATTAAATTATTTTGTATCTCAAGAGGTATATAATAGTAACTATAGAGTAATTGGTTATCAAATATTTTGATTCGATTGGCCCAAAAGTATTGATATGTTTAAAGAATGTAGTTTGAAGCTCAGCGCAAATTTTATTTGTTTTTATTTACATTTGTATTATAAGTCTGGCACAACTGATTTTAGTAATTACAGAAGTGTCGAATCCTGTTGAGTGAGATTTCGCAGTGCAAGGTTTTATAAACACTATTTCTTCTTAATCCCAATGGTTCTCGACTGTTGGCTTTTCCCTAGGCTAAGTATCAACATTTTTTCAAAAAGCCCCTATACTTCTAAGCAGTTTTGAAATGATTTGAATACTTCTATTTAATATGAGGGTTTGGAAGGGGGGTTTTTCAATTCTGTATTCCTAAGTTTTTTAGCCATTTTTTCGCTATATTTTTGCCCATTTCTCTATTCCTTATACTTTAACACCCCCATCTTCTCTATCTTTTTAAGGAAGGTGGGGGGGGGGGGGGCTATTTTTTAAAATAAATTTGGGGTCATTTCCTTGCAAAAATATTTTAATTTTTCACATGCTTGTAACTAAAAAAAACAAATACATAGTCATTCAGACATATCTTTTTTTTTCATAAATATTCTATATATTAATATAAAAGTAAGGAGATGAGGTTTGATTGCTAATGAGACAACTATCCACCAAAGTTCAAATAAAGTGGATGTAAGCAATTGAAACGATTTAAAATCAGAAACCATACTAAATATAAGAGGAAAGTGGGACAACACATATTTTTGTTTTAAAGAAACAGAAACGACCCCCTCCCCCAACACCAATTCAGATCCTAATACCTTAGGCTAGTACTTTCAATCATATTATGTGTAAGCAACACTAAAGCTACAACAGGTGACAGATAATGTATACACGTGTAAATAAGATCCGGTTTATAAAGTTAACAAAGTTCATATAACTACACAAAATTATGTAAATAACTGTCATTTACCGTAATTTGTCATGTTATATATTATAAGTTTTTATGCCTGTAGTGTTTACAACTGGTGTTTTATGTGAATGTTTACAGTTACAATCCGGATTGAAGTTTTATGTTTCTTAGAATTGTCGATTGTCTTCTTCTGAATTACAAAATCAGACTATGACAGGTACACTAGGAATCCTTCACTTTACTACTACAATAATTTATTCCATGCGTGCTTATGTATACATGTATTTCTTATATTTTTGATCCTGTTCGTAAGTGTATAATTGTCCATCGTTGATAAAGGTAAGGTGTCATATTATATTTATCTGTTTGAATCTTTGATTTGGTATTTATATATTTATCTTAAGCAGTGATTGATTGTTGTTTATATAGAGCCCAGTGGCAAATATTTCATGTAATATCAGGGGGATTATCTAAAGCATGTATTCAGCTATATAATAGCTATCTGGTATACGAATCCAGTTTATATATTATATGCATATATTATAAGGTATAAAAGTTATGACAAAATAATGGTAATTAAGTGAGTTCAAATGACGTTTAGTATCTAGCGCTTTCTTCCATCTGTAAGAACTATCAAGAATGAGACATTGTTATTGGTACGTTAATTGTTGACAAGTCCCTACAAAGGGATGAAAGCCAAGACACTTAACCTTTTCTCTGCCATACGTCCTATCCGGCCTATTCAAAAACACTACCATTTAGTGCCACGGTGAGGCCCAAAGGCCAACGGAATGGCAAAATCATGTTTTCAGATAAAACATATACATTGGAAGGATTCGTACAAACAAAAATGACTTCTGTAACCCCCTGTAAATTTTAAATAAATAAAACCGAAATTTTAATGGCAATGAAATATAATTTTTACAGAAAGTTCGTAGTATACGTCTTTGAGAAAAGTCAATTAAAGTCAAATTATTTAATAGTGTTTGCAGTACATGTATTACGTGCATCCTAATATAGCCTATATATTTGTACTTTGTTTTATAGAATATTCATATTGCATTATCTCCAAATGTCAAAATTTACTTGCATACTTTTTGAATATTTATTAGCGGTTCTAATAGACCAATTTGAGCGTAGGTATCAAGCCAGGGGACAGCACTCGTCAGTCAATGCCTATCCCATGGTATTTTAACTGATCACTATTGTTTTTTCATAAATATATACATAAGAAAACAAATCTACGGTGGGTTCCAGATCTATGACAGAATTCAAATATATAACAAATATGACGTCACAAACACCATACACATCATAAATCTATGGCAGGTTTTTTCTCCAAATCTATGGCAAATTTTTTTATTGTGTAATTTTCCGGGAAAAAAGAGTAACATATAACGTCACAATTAAAAAAACGTCATATTTAATACGTTGTCGATGCCGCTAACGATGGTTGAACACATACACTGTTACAAAGTAAGATTTCTTGAGAAAGCCACATGTTTAAGGCAAGTCATTGATCAGATATGTAGTGACTTGTCCTCAATTTGCACAAAATCTGCCAACGATTTGGAAACTAGTAAATCCGCCATAGATTTGGAAAATAGTAAATCCGCCATAGATTTGGAAATTAGTAAATCTGCCATAGATTTGGAAACTAGTAAATCCGCCATAGATTTGGAAACTAGTAAATCTGCCATAGATTTGGAAACTAGTATATCTGCCAAAGATTTGGAAACTAGTAAATTCGCCATAGATTTGGAAACTAGTAAATCCGCCATAGATTTGGAAACTAGTAAATCCGCCATAGATTTGGAAAATAGTAAATCCGCCATAGATTAGGAAACTAACGTTAGAAAATTTACCATAGATTTGGATTTTAAAAAATCTGCCATAGATTTGGAAACTAGTAAATCCGCCAAAGATTTGGAAACTAGTAAATCCGCCATAGATTTGGAAACTAGTAAATCCGCCATAGATTTGGAAACTAGTAAATCTGCCATAGATTTGGAAACTAGTCAATCTGCCATAGATTTGGAAACTAGTAAATCCGCCATAGATTTGGAAACTAGTAAATCCGCCATAGATTTAGAAACTAGTAAATCCGCCATAGATTTGGAAAATAGTAAATCCGCCATAGATTAGGAAACTAACGTTAGAAAATTTACCATAGATTTGGATTTTAAAAAATCTGCCATAGATCGATTTGGAAACAAGTAAATCCGCCATAGATTAGGAAACTAGAAAATTTACCATAGATTTGGATTTAAAAAAATCTGCCGTAGATTTGGGATGGCATGACGTCAAATTTCCATAGATTTGGAATCTGCCATAGATATGGAACACGCCATGGTTGTGAGTCCTTCATATATATATATTTCTCTAAATCTTCGCGGTCAATTTATCCCTTTCTGCACCCATTGTATAAAAAAATTTAATCAACGTGTGGTTCGTTTGATCTCAGTTCTTCATTGGTTAAAATCCGATTATGACGTCGAATTGTCTTGCTTTCCTCTGAATTTCCCATTGTGACGGCATGAAAAAAGGCGACCATGTCTGATGACGTCACATAGAAAGAACACATCTTTTTGCAGATCATTCAAAAAGAAGGAATAAGTTTGCCTGCATATTGTTTGAAAATCATTAGAGAAACAGATTCCACCACAAAATCTCGTGTAATACGATATTTATCCACTCTCGGCAGTTAAATTTTAAATATTTAAAACGCTCGGCGAGCCTCGCGTTTTAAATTTGAAAATTTAACTGTCTCGAGTGGATAAATATCGTATCACACTCGATACAGTGGTAGAATCTATATATATTAATATAGATATAGATAATATTATATTATTATTTATTTTTGTGGGAGGGGTCGAACATTTTTTACTTACATCGTGTTCAAACAGCTTCTATTTTCGTGATCTATTACTTGCGCAGTCTACAAAAAAAAATTATCATTTATCTTTTGCCTGTCTTGAATATATTGCAATATTGGCAAACGATATTTTTTTTTTGCCTTTTACTTTTTTGATACGAGCGTCACTGATGAGTTTTTTTGTAGACGAAACGCGCGTCTGGTACATACACAATTATAAGCCTTGTATCTTTGATGCGTTTTTTTGTAGTAAAATTAGACGAATGATATTAAAAGCAATCAAACTTAATGATTTTAAAGTATTTCTATATCAATAGAAGTACAATTTCTAAAGATCACATGATGATATTTTTAATAGAACCAACCAGAGAAGGGTATTACGGTCCTTTACTGAAGGTACTAAATTAAAACTGAATTTACTCTACTTTTTCAACACCGTGTTTAAGAAAGAAGATGTCACTTTCACTTATAAATGTATAGTTTGTCTTGTCTACTTTTCTAATTCCCCCTACACCTCTGCTTTGGACTCTTTTTAATTAAAGACACGGTGTTTGGTTAACCATAAAAGTTATTACCAAAAGTCACGTAATCATATTCGTTTGTTTACATTATTCTCCGGCTTTTAGTCTTATCTCCTAACTTGGTACACTTACTTCATTTATAAGACAAGGCTCAGACTATAATGGACCACTGTTCTGGTTTTGATTTATTCGTCGACATAAATACCGTTTCATGTAAGTGTTCAGATTTTTCACAAAGCGTTGTAAGAGAGTCTAGATGGGGGTCCTTCATTTCTATATTCTTTATTTTTTAAGACCATGTTTCTCTATTCTTTATTCTTTCTATTACAGCACCCCATTATTCTTTATTCTTTCTATTTCAGCATCCCATTATTCTTTATTCTTTCTATTTCAGCACCCCATTATTCTTTCTTCTTTCTATTTCAGCACCCCATTATTCTTTCTTCTTTCTATTTCAGCACCCCATTATTCTTTCTTCTTTCTATTTCAGCACCTCATTATTCTTTCTTCTTTCTATTACAGCACCCCATTATTCCCTTTTCTTTATTTTTTTGGCCTTTGTTTCTCTATTCTTCATATTTTTTGCCCTTCATTGCACTGTGTGCCCGTTATTCTCTATTTTGTAAACACCATCCAGACCCTCTTGTAAATTTTAAGAACAACTGCATGCGCACTTTATTATCACATTACATAAACAAGAGCATTTTTATAAACTTTGACGTGTTGTTTATTTAGGAATGTCGACATTTCCCCCTTGTTGTCATTATACGTGTATATTTACTTGCATTATGAAATCAACTGTTACATGTACATGTTTGTACATGTATATACGGTATTTCACATTGCTTATGATTACGTAATAAATATGTAAATCGACTTGAAATTTTCACTGTGTTTGTTCAGAATGTGCGTAATATTTAATTTTTTTTTCTTCAAGAAACTTATATTAGTTAAATACGGTGAATTACGTTACATGCAATTGTATACTGCCAACCAAATCACAAAGAACTGAAAAAGCACGTAAGAGAACAGATTCAAATTGTCGCGTGATTCTTATTTTGTCAATAAAAAAGGATCTAGATGGGGTCTTTGTTTCAATATTCTTTCAATTTTAAGGCCCATTATTTTATATTCTTTATCTTTTTTTCTTACATATTCTGTATGTTTTGCCTATTATTCTCTATTCTGAATTTGGGTCCTTAATGCTCTTCGATCTCGTACAAACTTTATTTGGCCTTTTACATTTTACCTTTTTAATTTTTTTTATTCGAGCGTCACTGATGAATCCTTTGTATAGACACAATGTGCGTCTTGCGTACTAAATTATACACCTGGCATCTTCGATAATTTTTTTTTTATTAAACCCCATCCAGACCTTCAAATAAATGACTGACATGTGTTTAATTGTCTTGCATAAATTGCCTTAAATAACTTTTTTAAAGAGATAATTGTTGTAGCATAAACACCTTTATGTCCTCATTTATGACATCCCCGAATGAAACTTGTCAAATTCAACCTGCAATAAGTTACAATAAGGGTGCACTTATTGATTGGGAACTGATTACCCATCCGGGCGACCTGGGTACACATCCAGTTTTAAATAGGGTTCATGTTGACCAATCTTTTATTTTTCTATATAGTGTTAAGCGGATTCTACGTTATATTTGTCTTTTGAATTCGTTCCTATTCTTTTAATTAAAGGTTTTGACTGATTTTCTTCGTCTAATGGTTTTTGATTGTCCCTTTATATTTTCTTTCACTCATTTCTTAACTTTGATTATCTCCTGAGAGAAAAGTTGCAAATGTATTCTGGGGTTTATACTGACTATTATATATAAAGGTTTGAATTGACTGCCGTGGGAATATTGATAAGGGAAACTACTGGCAGTTGCAATATTAGATTATCTCCACTTGTAGCTAAGGTAACTCTTGACTTTTTGAAGTTGAAGTTGAAATTTGTCAACCTGTTACACTGATTATCACGTCTGCAGTCTTAATCTAAACCTGTAAAAGTCGAATGCTAATAACAATGTGTTGCATAGCTTCTTGTGTATTAATCTATATTACACACGCCCACAATATCTTGTTTTGAAACTAATTTCATGTAGTTTTACATTTTTCTCAGATATAAAGAAGCTGAATTTATTAGATGGAAAATGAACAACAAATTGAATTAACAGAGTTTACAGATGTTCAGGTACAAGTAAACTATATCGACATGCTCATAGTACCATCTCAATGAAATTAATCAGACGACTAACTTAGGGCGTATTTGTTTCAGTAAAACTGGATTTGGTTTAAACACGGTTTTTGTTTTGAATGGTTTGAACCTGTTAAAATCGGTTTTGGTTTACCGTTTTCAAAACAAATAAAAAAGTTCTGATATTTGTTTGTGTAGCTGTTCAAACAACAAGGTGAGGTTTGATAAGGTTATGAAACAGGTTTTGGTTTTCCAAAAAAGAAATGTAAAACCAGTTTCGGTTTCTAGTTCGAAGCAGGTTTGGAAGAACAAATAGAATGTTTATCAAAAAATGATACCAGTTAAGAGGCAACAGATACCCCTCTAAGTGTGAAGGAATTTGACAGAAGTCTTCACCGCCACTTGGCGGCCGATTGACATAAAAAAAATCAACATATGACCGTCAATTTCTAATCCTTCTTTGCATAGTCCAATTAAGAAAAGAAAAACAACATTAGTGAAGTTATGGATGGGGGTCCTTCATTTCTGTATTCTTTAATTTTTTAGGCCATTTTTTCTATTCTTTATACTTTTTGCCCATTATTCTCTATTCTTTATATTTTAGCATCTCATTATTCTCTATTCTTTATTTTTTGGTCCATTTTTCTCTATTCTTTATATTAATGTTTTACCCTTTAATCTCTATTCTGTAAACCCCTTTCCACACCCTCATTAGTCCAACTACACAACATTAGTCCATAGATTGTGATCAAAAGAGGAGGGTTGGAAAGATTGTGATCAAAAGAGGAGGGTTGGGATCTAAAATTAGAAACAATTCAAACCGTGACGCAATTCAATGTCCCTATCTCAAGTCCCTTGCTAGTTGTTGTTTTTGTACAATCTTAATGTTACTGGTTTTTTTTTGTCATTTTGTGTTCATGTCAGATTTGTTGTAAGATGTGGTACAAATATGAGTTCCAATTTTTGATAAATATATTCCGTGCTTTGCTAAGATTCGGACTATTCCGAGCTTGACATATTTAGTCCGAGTCTTAGAAAATTAAATTTATTGTTATGTACAAAAGGATATATGTGGTTACGTCAATGTGATAGCAACCCAACGACATAAGATTCCACGAAAGGATAAACAGTACTTAATCCTTCCATCATTTCCGGTCAATTATTACTTTTGGTAATCATGGAAAACGGTTAATTTGATGATAGATTATGTTAATGAATAAATAAATGTAAATCTATTTTTTAAACCTTTGTAGTTAAAACACTAAATAAAGAAATACACCCACACCTATTTTTAAAAATATATATTCAATAGAATGAAGTTGAGTGAACTGCTTGTTGTCATACCATGCAGTATACATGTACCTAAAATGTTAACAAACTGCCATAACAAAGATTTATTGCTTAATTAATTAAGGAGTGACTTAACACCTATGCTTCAGGAGCTTCATGATAAATAGACTTGTTATGCAATCACAATCATTTCAACACAATTTATTCCAGTCTGAGATTTTGCATCTGAGACACATTGCATGTCCTCAGCGGAATTTTTATTTATACTCTGTGGTAAAATTATTGAAACTAATAAATGAAAAATAACGAGGACACCCACACCCGCTAACTTCTAGACTATTAGGCTATAGATTATATATTATTTTTGCTTGACACTTTCAAATATCTTCACTACAAACAATTTTACCAAAACATATTTAGAAAGAAATACCGATACATATTTTGAAAACAAACTTACTGGTACTAAATTCATTCAAATATTCTCTTTTTAACTCTCATATAAACATTAGCTGACTACGCGATATGGGCTTTGCTCATTGTTGAAGGACACTCGGTGACCTATAGTTGTTAATTTCTGTGTCATTTTGTCTCTTGTGAAGAGTTGTGTCATTGGCAATCATACCACATCTTCTTTTTTTTATATTTAGAAAGGAAAAAAAGGTTTCTTAAAGGCATGCTATCAAGAATTTAAAAAAAAATATGTTTGTTTGCAAAGCTGAAACTTTATATATTTTATACAATAGTAGACTGTAATCAATTAGACTAACACACAAGTTAACAATTCCTTTATATTATTAGGTCCAGGATGAAGACGATTTTGCAACCGAAAAACACGGACCAACTTCCAAAAAAATGAAATATGTCTGGAGGACCTTGGAAATCGTCATAATTACATCGGTAGTCTTACTAATTAGTTTCATAATAAGAAAAGCCATTGGAAGTAAATATTTGCATCCGGAATAATGCAGTCGTATAATTAATATAATTTAAAATGTAGTGTAAGAAGAGCGTTTTAAGCTCCGTGCCGGAATACACATATACACAGAGGGATGCGACAATTGCCAAACATGAACAAGAAAATAGCTTGAAATCCGTATTATTTATATTCATTTGTTATTCATTTACTTGAAATCGTTGTTGATAAATGTATTTTTATTGCCTAAAAGTTTGTTTTTAAAATAAAATTTTAATGCCAAAAATGTAGTGTTAATTTGTATAATTATGTTGTTTTACAAAATAGATGTTGATAAGTGTCTCACATTCTGTTGGAAAATAATTCCATTTTATTCCTTGATTGTTTGTATATCAAAGAAAATTACTGAAATATATACAAAAACAAGGCATATTTCAATATTCAGTACATTTTTCAATGGTACAAAATTACAAACTTATTTGATGCATCAAAATTCTAAGGATCACCGCGGCGGAATTGAAATTTTATATATTTTTGTCAAATAGAATTAAGGTTTCAATAACTCAGTATCAACATGCAGGAACTAAAGCTCTTACAACCAACAAGATTGTGGGGTAAAAAAACAATGAGACTGCTTTCGCAGAAAATTGTCAGGTATGCCCACAACCAACGTTGCAGCAATACAATTATACTAAAGTTTTAGCTTTTCTTTGTGTATACACTTTTGCCGTCTTTAACACGTTTCCGATTAAATAAAGACGTCATACATCCTCTATCACTATCATAGAATATAAAATACAATAAAGCAACAATGTTGATAGCAAATAAATTAGTAAATAGTCAATATATGTAGCATATCAACCGGACAATACAAGAACAGAAGAAAATAGAAAAAAATAACAAACAACCACGATAACACAATTAATCACAGAGGTATATAATCATGAAAATAGCAGATTACAGGGAAAAAATTACCGGGGCATATCAGTTGACTAATGGTCAATACAATTTTCAACGTATGTTCCCCTTGCATAGCACCTGCTGCCACAACCCGTTTTCATGGCATTTTCCGTCAACCATCTAGTAATTACAAACAGGAATTTTCTTAATGTGGATCAGAAACTTGTCAAAATGTTTCCCTGACTTGGAGATAACTGTACATTCGTCAAGCTCTTCAATTCGCCGCTTCGGAATCTATTTTTTACAAAAGCGTCAACTACAACCTTGATTGGTAAATAACATCCCTTTTAAGGCGGAGTATACGTAATTCCACGCCTTTGGCGGAATTTAATAGATAGCCAACCAATGATGTTACGTTATTTTGAATTTTGTGAACGAACAATGAAATTACCCACAGTCCTTAGAATTCTGAACCATCTCTAAAAGTGATTATCACTAGAACAGTTGGCTACTTATCGTCCAGTGGCAATTATTACATCCATAATAAGAAGAACATGTTAAGGATGTATCATGTGAAATAAAAAAAAAATCGAATTTAAAATTGATACTATAAATCAGAACATCATTAATTTAGTTAATGAAGAAAATAAGCTAAAAATATTGATAGGTTATGGAATTCCTTTTCGAGATTTCTAAGTAATAAAAAAAAGGGATAAGGCTGACTCGGACTTTTACCTTATATTTAGCATTGCCATTATTTGGGTCTCAAATCATAAGAAAAAATATCTAGAATCTCCTTAAATTTTGGTAAATGACCTTTTATGAGCTATTGAAGTCTTCTTTGAAAAGAAAAGTGAGTGATATGGGGCAAAATATTTTACCCAGTATGGTAGGAAAAAACCCAAGGAGTCCGAACATCTGACAAAAATTGACATGATTACATCCTTTAATTGATATGGATATGAACTAATCTATTTACTAGTCCTGCACAGTTTATGTCCTGTCGACAAACCCAGAAACATTATCCTGTCGGTGAGCCAATCAGTCTTTCTCCTTTATCCAGCAAATACAAATGACCAAGTCATTGATGAATGAAAAGAATGAAATGATTTATCCTGTTTGTTCTTTCTAGAGTGTTCCGATTTGTTTCTTTATTGTCTTATTCTATAAAAGTTTTAGTGTAATTATACACACCCGAAATGAACATAAATGGTATAATAATAGCATATATAAGCGTAATTTTCACTGTGTAGGTTGTTTAAGTGTTTCCAGATGAATTATATAGCCTATATACCGGTGAACTTAAATCTTTAGTATGAAACGGATCTCAACTTCATAGTAACCTGTTGTATTTCTCGATTTATTTTACACAAAGTTAGCATGGACGATTGCTAATTCGATTGAAAGAACTCAAAGCTGAACAAACTCAAAGACTGTGCACAACTTAGTAATTCAAAGCATGAACAACGATCTCTCTTAAAGTTCCAAAAACATATTTGGGAGGAAGAACCGTTCACCATGAAATGTTTATATCTTAATAATTATAATCATCTCTATCATATTCAGAAAAAACGTAATGATAATGTACCATGAAAAGGTGCTGTGCATATAAAACTGAAAGTACAGAATATGCTTTCCGAGTGATATTTGGATGTGCTTTCATCAGAAACACACAGAGCCAACGATGTATGAATACAGAAGGAGCAAAAATTTAAACAAAAACATATTTATATCATTGTAGTCGTGACAATTCCTCTTTCAATATTAATAAGAACATGTGGTATGAGTGCCAATGAGACAACACTCCATCCAAGTCACAATGTATAAAAAAGTTAACAATTATAGGTCAAGTACGGCCTTCAACACGGAGCCTTGGCTCACACCGAAAAGCAAGCTATAAAGGGCCCCAGAATGACTAGTGTAAAACAATTCAAACAGGAAAACCAACGGTCTAACTATATGAAAAACGAGAAACAAGAAACTCGTTTGAACCACACCAATAAACGACAACTACTGAACAACAGGCTCCTGACTAAGGACAGATGCATAAAAATGCAGTGGGTTTAAACGTTTAAACAGGCGCAAACCTTTACCCTAACCCGAGACAGTAGCATGTTATTTCCCGAAGAAAGATGTCTCTTTTCAGACATTGATTTTTCCTTTCCTGATCGTGCTGTTCTGTTGGTTCATTCTTATATTGAGTGTACATTTTTAAGTTGATTCAATATCATGCATATGCGCCTGTTTGAAAAGTGAAGTCTCAAATTTCAATGAACATGCAACACGCTTTAAACAGCGAGATATATACAACACAAACAAGTCAAAACTTGTACTAAATTGAATCACAAATAAAGATTATTGGAGAAGTATTACACCACCCACATGAAATGATAAAAATGCATACTTACAAGTGTAGAAATTGTTCTTCAAATCTTTATCTCTTCATAACTTTATTGATAAAGGTACTAGATTTTTTTTTTAGATAAAAACGAAATCGCTGATTTATAGTTTGCATGAGGCAATATTGAAATGACTCTTTTGTTTTTCTGTGAGGTTTGATATGGGCATTGCATACCAAGACCTAAGTCAAATGTATGAAATCTTCTATGAAATACAGGTCTGCATTTCACAAAAAAATCTTACGACCACTATTGATCGTAAGTCTTACACAATTCAGTATACATTTTGATTGTTTGTTATAGTCCTTTTGTTGTTAGGGATGAGGGATGGATAAATACCCTGTCACGTCCGGTTTTTGTTTGATGTTTTCCTGCGTTGTGTCGATCTGATGAGTTAAGCCTTTTTCAACTGATTTGTATAGTTCGTTCTTATTTTGTGTTGTTGCACCACTGTCCCAGGTTAGGGGAGGGGTGAACGCTCACAAACATGTTTAACCCCGCCACATTCTTTATGTGCCTGTCCAAAGTCAGGAGCCTGTAGATCAGTGGTTGTCGTTGGTTCATGTCTGTTATATTTGTTTTTCGTAAATTGTTTTGTTATAAATCAGGCCGTTAGCTTTTTCAATTGAATTGTTTCATATTTGTCATGTCGGGGCCTTTTATAGCTGACTATACGGTATGGGATTTTTCTCATTGTTGAAGGCCGTACGATTGCCTATAATTGCTTACATCCACTTTATTTGAACTTTGGTGGATAGTCGTCTCACTAGCAATTATACCACATCTCCTTATTTTTATATAGTGTTCTTTTTATTGGCTATGTATATTTTAAACTTTTGCTGTTTAGTTAATTTTTGGTAATATCCTTTTGTTGTGGCTCGGTATTTATACATTCTGCCATTGTGTTATGGTGCTATGGTCATTTTTTGTATACTTGTCTTTATTTTTTGCTTATGTGTTTTGTCTATAGAGTGTCTATATGCCATTTTGTTTTACTTTGTTGACATAGTTGTTTGTTTTTATAGATCATAACACAATGTTGACTGCTGTACCCCAATTTTTGACATGTTTACCTATTATGTCTGTTTGCTTTGGTCACACATTGTTGTCAATATAATGGAATTATATGCGACTGTCATAAGAGTGAGAAGTTTAGCTAACCATAAACCAGGTTTAATCCACCATTTTATACATAAGGAAATGCCTGTACCAAGTCAGGAATAGTACAGTTGTTTTCCATTCGTTTGATGTGTTTGAGGTTTTGATTTTCCCATTTGATAAGGGACTTTCCGTTTTGAATTTTCCTTGGAGTTTGGTATTTTTGTTATTTTACTTTTTTGTACTAACCGTCAATTTTAGTCGTAAGATTTTTTTCTGAAACCGATATCAGGGTGTAGGACGGCATTATTTCCGTATTAGCAGGTTAAGTACCTTGAGATTACTTTCAGCAACTGTGAGCATTTTTTTAATACGGTATATTTTTAAGATTGTTTATTGATTAAGTTGTGTTCTTATGATCAACTACTAGTATACCGCTATTTCATATCTCAGTACTTTCCCTTTACTGATTTTTATAGTATATGCTTTACTGTGTTTTTAAGTCAACTGATTGATATTAAAAAAGGGGGAGAATCATCTAAGTAGTTTGACACTGACAGATATTCAAGTGCATGTGCCAAATTAGTAACTTATTTTTAATAGTTTTCATATATCATACCTTAATGTTTGTTTTGTTATTTGGAGAATTTTGAAGTGGCTTTCAGGTCTTTATTTTTGTTTTGTTTTATTTATTCACAGATTATATGGACTACGGACTTTGTAGGGTTATATTGTATAGACACCGTATAAATTGCTCAAATTGTATGTAGTCTTTTATATGTCTCTTGGTTATTTGTGTCGGTTTGTTGCTGTCTTATTAACTTAACATACACAATAGGGTATATTCATACATGTAGCATAACATATCATCGGCCTGCAT